CCGGGGATCTGAACGGGGGCGTGTTCTTCTTCAGCCGCCAGTGAAAGCCACCAGCAGAGGATCCCATAGCGACCCAGGTGGCCCCGCACGGCATCTGGCCGGGCCCCAGGCCCCATAGAGGCCGCCTGGGTCGCTATGGCGATTGTTACGCCACTGGATACTCCTATCCTTCAGGCAGCAATGCCATTAAAGCCAACAACTGTGAAGCATTGTGGAAAATTGGTCCTCAGAACAGAAGTCTGCACCAGTCAGACACAATTAAGATAACCGAAGTGAGTACCTTAAAGGGAGTGCTTTGTTTCCTCGCTGACACCCTGGGAAGAGGTTCTACACAGGTTGCATATGCTGTTTTACCTACGGAAGTTTGTAAGTGCAATCATTTTTAACCTCTTGCCGTCCGCCGCTAGTAGAAAAAAAACGGACGGACGGCACTGCTGAATTTGCGGGTTGCCGTCTCCAGACGGCAATTATTTTCTGCTCGCGCGCGCCCCCTGGCGGGCACGCATGGGCAGAAAAGACCCGACCATTAAACACACCCGTTACCGGGTGTCTGACATATAGGCGATCAGCGGGTCCATAGCCCGCCGATCGCCTATATGTGCTCGTCAGGAGGAGGAGGACGGGAGATCAGCTCCTTGCTGATCTCCGTCCGGGCTGTGAATGCAGAAGTGATGTGTATTACATGACTTCCGCATTCACCTGTCAGTCACCTGGCTGCTATAGCCAGAGAGAAGAAGCTGATGAAGCAGATCTCTGCTTCATCAGCTTCTTTTGGGGTCCACAGGTGACATTAGGGGTCCTAGAGACCCCTAATGTCTCCATAAAGAGGACCTGTCAGTGTGCCTTTGCTATTATATAGGGGGATTGTTATCCCCCTATATAATAGCAATAACAATAAGTGCAAAAAAATAAATATAAATAAAAAAAAATAAAAGTAACATATAAAAAAGTAAAATAAAATAAAAGTCACATATAAAAAAAGGGGAAAAAACCCCCCCAAAATGTTTAACTCCCCCACCCCCACGTTTACGCGCCTATAAACGTAAATACGCGTCCGGTGCCCCAGCGCGCAAAAATTACAATTGCGCTACACATGTTACATATCGCCGCGAACGTCGCAGTGAGAGCAATCATTTTAGGGCCATCAATCACTGATAACACTAAACTGATGAGCGGTAACAGCTTTTAAAGCGTCGCCTATGGCCAATTTTGGGTATTATCGTTTTTTGAGGTTTCGCGCGCGCACGCAATTTTAAGGCTTGACATGTTTAGTGTCTTTTTACCCGACGTGACCCCATCTTTTATATTTTACCAAAAAATTGGGTAATAATAAATGTTTTATCATTTAATATAGGGGAAACTGTTTTTTTTAAAAATCGGTAATTTTTCCTTAATATAGTTAAAAAAATAAAAAAAAATCCAGTGGTGAATAAATACCACCAAAAGAAAGCTCTATCTGTCCCCAAAAAAGGGTATAAAATTCATTTCAGTACAGCGCTGCATGACGGAATAAATGTCAGTCAAAGTAACGCAGCGCTGAACACTGAAAAATGGCCTGGATGGGAAGGGGGTCTAACACCGCGGATGTCAACTGGTTAAACTTTTTTAATAAAGGATCTTGCATGTGCACTTAAATCCTGTTTTTTCTTATATGGTCGGTCCCCCCCTCGTTTTCCTGGCTGATCTCTCCGGAGGGTTCTCCATCCATAACTGGAGGCTGTCCAAACACCGCCGATGAGAGGAAGTGCAGCCTGACGGCAGGAGAGGGCAGAGAGACTATTATAGAAGAATTCTTCACCTCTGCGGACTTATCAATAGAACTACAAGTAAAAGACACTCGATTCCCAATGCGACTCGGAGGAAAATAGCATCTTGCTGTCCTTAATCCCCGTTCATATACCTCTATATACACTATATTTTATTCACCTTTTATACCAGTAGATGTGTTTTTACAAGAATTCGTGTATTTTTGTATTTTCGGCTTGTAGCCTCTGACATACAAATAGTTTTTTTTCCATTTATTCACATTTATAATTTCTAATTTTTGATTGCCAGATGGATTAATTCACTTGTTTATACAATTTTTCAACTAGATTTTAATTATTTATTATTCACAATACTTGTTTCCACGTGATAATATATTACTGTATCTATTTACATATGCCATATATACCTTGCGATATCTACTAATTTAACATAATATTTATAATACTATTTATTCACGAACACATTTACCTTCTTTCCTTTTTCGATTTGTATTTTTAGTACACAGCCTCAATTAGGATTTGATCACTGGCACTGTATATAATTTGTGATATTTTCATTTTTCCACACAATTTAAAGACCAATTAAAAGGTGGATCACATATAACCAAGCGCAGCACACCGGCTTACACCCGATACTAGTATCAGTATCGGTGCCGATACCGAGTATTTGGGTGAGTACTCGTACTCGCCCAAATGCTCCGATACCTAGCACGAGTACTTCCTGTATCAGGAAGCCGGGCAGCACATCATTACACGCTGCCCGGTTTCCTGATTGGCCAGGAAACGGCTCCATGCTCCGGAAGCCGGGCGCCGTGTAATGACGCAGCGCCCGGCATTCTGATTGCTTCCTCGTCATCTCATGAATCATAATATTAAGAAAGTGACCTTAAAGCATTAGTTTGTATTGCTTTAGAAAAAATTTGATCTGTCCCTTTAAGAAAAAGTATCGGTAATTGGTATCTGCGAGTACTTGATCAAAAGTATCGGTACTCGTACTCGGTTTAAAAAAAAGTGGTATCGGTGCATCCCTAATTTCTACAAATCTTACAACAATCTAATGAGAGTTGGAACCAGAGAGACACGACGATTGTTTGCTGAATGACACATATATATACTGCAGCATACAGCAAAGGTTCTGAAAGACAGCTAAACGTCTCACCTTCAGATGGCGGGCAGAGGCCGCATAAAATATTCATCAGAGTTGTTTTGCCGGTGCCACTGTGCCCAAGCAAAGCGGTTATCTGTCCTTCATATATGTCCAAGGTGAGCCCTGGAGATAAAAATAAGGTTGCCACAGGCATCAAAGACACAGTCCTATCATTGGCACCATTTCCTCATACATGACATGAAATAAAAGCTTTAGCCAAAAATACGGGATTTTTAAAGAATTACATTTTTTTTAAAAGGAGAAGTATGTGGTCAGGGCTTTTCCCCATAGTTCTCCTTAGGGTAACGGGGGGACACAAACTAGCGTCCTCCCGTCACCCTAGGCTCAGTATATAGGGAGCTACAGCTCGCGGTATACTGAGACGCCGCAGCCGTAACGGATCCCGACAATGTCTGGACCCGCCCAGCTGCGTGAGTGATAGCTGGCTCCGCCTTTATGCCAACTCGCCCCATCTGCCACGGCAATAACAGGTTATAAACCTCCCTAGCGCAATTTCTATTGATACTTTATCTAAGAAATTTCTCACCTTGTAATGCTTCCACCTGCCGATTCTGCTTCTTGAAAGACTTATGGATATTTTTAATTCTGCATGGAGAGAAGAAGAAAGAGTTAAAGGACTTAATGCAAAACAAAAAAATGTTGACTTGTATCTAAATGTCAACATAAAACCACGTTCATAGTCTTGTTGGGCTATGAGAAGGGCTGAAATACTTACCTGCCCCGGGGGGAAAATGCTGCATCCTGGCTCCATCCAGTGCTGCTCCGCTGCTAATGCTGTAGATCAGAGTTTAGATTGGCTGATTTTGCCTTCAGCAGAGATCATGTGACCAAGCGTCCAGGCTTTCAGACACGTGTCCAGCCTAGAACTTCAGTGTTCCTAGCCATCTACTATTTATTTACCCTTCCCAGCCAGAACGGGACGGTAGTTTTATGTAACTGGTGTAGGTCTAGGTGAAGGAGACCGTGTTCCCGAAGTCAACTTATAATAATGACAACGTTTTGTCCAAGCATACCTGATGGCCTCCTTCCCATGCAGGCCTAGAGGTACGGGCTCCACCAGGTCGCTCAGATCTGTGTTGGTGCCGAAGAAGCTCTCACTGAGCACCCCATAATTTCTCCTCCTCTTCGACCAGTAAGACGGCTTCAGGAAGAACAGAGGTGACCGTCTCAAACCGTACTCTCCTGTTCCCAAAGAAAATTAAAAAATGTTCAGCACAATGACATGTGACCCAACAATAGAAGCCCATCTCCAAGACTATTAAATACATTTTCCCTCTAGAACACGTTCCTCAAACTGCCGCCCTTTGGTTGCCTTTGGGTCACTATTCCTCCACTGACACCAATGATGGGGCACTATTCCTCCACTGACACCAATGATGGGGCACTATTCCCCCCACTGACACCAATGATGGGGCACTATTCCTCCACTGACACCAATGATGGGGCACTATTCCTCCAACTGACACCAATGATGGGGCACTATTCCTCCCACTGACACCAATGATGGGACACTATTCCTCCAACTGACACCAATGATGGGGCACTATTCCTCCTACTGACACCAATGATGGGACACTATTCCTCCAACTGACACCAATGATGGGACACTATTCCCCCAACGGACACCAATGATGGGACACTATTCCCCCCACTGATACCAATGATGGGACACTATTCCTCCCACTGACACCAATGATGGGGCACTATTCCTCCCACTGACACCAACGATGGGGCACTATTCCTCCCACTGACACCAACGATGGGGCACTATTCCTCCCACTGACACCAACGATGGGGCACTATTCCTCCCACTGACACCAACGATGGGGCACTATTCCTCCCACTGACACCAACGATGGGGCACTATTCCTCCCACTGACACCAACGATGGGGCACTATTCCTCCCACTGACACCAACGATGGGGCACTATTCCTCCCACTGACACCAACGATGGGGCACTATTCCTCCCACTGACACCAACGATGGGGCACTATTCCTCCCACTGACACCAACGATGGGGCACTATTCCTCCCACTGACACCAACGATGGGGCACTATTCCTCCCACTGACACCAACGATGGGGCACTATTCCTCCCACTGACACCAACGATGGGGCACTATTCCTCCCACTGACACCAACGATGGGGCACTATTCCTCCCACTGACACCAACGATGGGGCACTATTCCTCCCACTGACACCAATGACGGGACACTATTCCTCCCACTGACACCAATGATGGGGCGTTATTCCTCTTCCCTTTGACTACAGATGCAAGGTCATTTTTTCACTCCCAGTGCTCGCTTACCCCCCACTGACCACCAAGCCTGGGGTATTGTTTTCTTCCACCGACCACGTTGCCAGGGTATTTTCTAATACTTCTAGCCA